GGGGTGCTAGGCTCGTGGCTTGGGTTCATGGTATGCTATTTGTCTTGAAGAGGCTGTTCTGTAGCTTCCCGTAGGGAATCTCCGATAGGAATGCTGGTATGTACATACGTACAACAACGAGTCTAACCAAAGCTTGAAACGACAGTATTACTCCCTCGCGAGATGTATATGGTGCAGGGTCTTGGACGCCCTCAAGAGCGCTGGCCTGCTGAGTATGGGTTTTCAATGTCGGGCAGATTCAGTGCTCCCATGTGATCGTGGAGGGAGCCCTCTAAGCATCATTGCCACTGTTAGTGGCAGAAGCCGCAGGTATGGCATGGGGTTAGGAGGCCCACAAGGCTGATAATGGGCCATAAGAGGTTGAATGTTGTCCGCAGAAGATAGTGAACAGTCTCACTAGCCTCGTATCGACAGCCGGAGTCGAACGAGTACAATTATGTCCATGACAGGAGCAGAGTGAGACGGTTGATGAGTGGCCATGGCTAGTCGAGGAGTCAAGTGGACAATGATTGGCTGCGACGAGGAGGCCGCTCGGCACTCTTTCCGCCGATCCCTGGTCGCTAATCCACGCAAAGACCCAAAAAGGTGGTGGCATGGCTGTGCATGGCACTGTTTGTGCTGCCTACTTGGGCACTCAGGGTACTAAACCTGTCTACCTAGGTACTCTATTATCTCTTATTCCCCTCCTAGGCACCTTATCCGGGTATTAACTACCTATGGATGCTATTCAAGAAGTTCGGTTTGCGAGGCTCCACCATCCACAGGGCAAGCCACGCATCCCGCCCGCCATCCACTGTAGAACTGCCACTTGCCCCAATTCACCAAGTCCACCACTCAGCACTCTCTGTTCCCTCTGCACACACTAGTCAGTCCGCCTTCCTGGGCATTTCGCATTGTCTTTTCTCTCCCTCCACTTCTCCTCGTCATGTTGACCTCTTTGTTCTTGTTCCTTTCTTCTCCTGCACCCAACCACAAACAACTGCTTTGCAAACTACCGTCATAACACCACGCAATCCCCGTCGCATCTGGGTATTCTTCCTCCATGAACGCGTTTGTCTCGCCGAATGTATGTATATATCCTCCTTCGCACGAGGTTTCCACAACCGCGGATCGCGTTCGACACACCTTGGGTCCTCAACCACGTTCAACAAGCTCACCAACTTCATTACTCTAGGTCGCGCTCGTCCTAGAATAACCTCCCAGTCTCCATCTCCTCCCCCTCCTACCTCCCCGCCGACCGCGTTGCACTAGGTTGGCCTTTACTTCTCCTGCACAGGATGGTCTTATTCAAGAGAAAACCCGTGCGCTACCTACCCCATCCCCACATCGACGACCAGGAATCCGATGTTTGGGTCATCGCCGAGTCCAATGAAGTATTCACCTCGTACGATGCATATCTCGAGCGCATGGACTTTTTCAAGTCCAAAAGATTCACCTGCGAAGTATCAGGACGTTCCGGTCTGACATTCTTCGACGCGCTGAGGAGCGAGCAGGCTGGGTCACGCGAGATTGATGAGGCGTTTCCGCAAGCACTGCGAGAACCCGTCCTACGCAGAGTCCAATTCTCCACCACGTCTCGTATCGATAATTTGGTCGAAGAGGTTTACAACGACTTCAAGAATGACTTCTATCCGGGTGAACTGGTCACCGTCATACTGGACGACGCATCCCGATTAAACGGTCGAGTGCGGGACAAGGCCAAGTTTGCAGAGGTGAGGGCAGCAGACGGTTCCGTGGCAAGAGAGGCTTTCTCCAGATATTTTGTGCGGCTCATTGATCGCCCAGACGAGGAGGCCCTGGTCGACGATAATCATATCGTTAGAGACCGCAAGGTCTTCACGAAACACATGCTCCGTTCTTTCATCAAGAATACCGTGACCAGGGAAGGTTGGAATGGTGCTCCATGGATCGTGAAACCCGAAATTGCCGAGCGATTTCGCATTGACACCAACGTTCCACCTCATCTTCAATACGGCCATAAGATTGCCGCGAAGAAAGCGGAGAAGAAGCAGAACGCTGAGCAAGGAGAGGGTATGTTCGGAATCTGGCAAACTCATAAACTACCCGAGCTGAAGCCTGCTCCTAAAGGACGCAAGAACCAACACACGTCTCAACACCAGCTACAGCGGATCGAAGTGCAGATTCCTCCTCCCTACCACGAGAATTATCCCCCCCAACCGATACCTGACCCAGGATTGTTGCCACGGTCTTGGGACCATATGCATCCAGCCCCTCCACCTCCACCTTTCGATCCATATTACCACGGATATCCTCAATATATGCCACCGAACGGTCACTACTACCCTCCACCGCCGCCTGAGGAGCAGTTGCCTCCCAAGCAAATCATTCAGCCGCCTCCGCCTCCTCCGCCTATCAAATACCCGATAGATGATCTAGATGTTGAACCTGTCCGCGACGGGACGCATCGGCCGACGCTGAAGTTCATCAGCAAAGAGCAATGTGTCGATCGGAAGTCTACGTCTCACCTCATCCCCGGTCTCAAGTCTGAAAATGTCGGCCTCTTACTGGAGACGTGGAATACATTGAATGTGTATTGCCAAGTTCTCAAATTGGACTCGTTCACCTTCGACGATTTTGTGGAAGCGATGATGTTCACCTCGCATGAGATTGACTGCGAATTGTTTGTCGAAGTACATTGCGCAGTTCTGAAACAACTTGTGAATTCCGAGAATGATGATGATGGAGCCATTCAAATATCACTACCAGATCTTCCCGACCCAGACGAGGATGAAGAGGAGGAAGAGGAAGAGGAAAGCAAGCCACCAACACCAACACCCGAACCGGAATATCCAGCGAAACGAACACGAAGTAGTCTCCACAAAGTTCAATTCGCAGAGCCAGAACCAGAGCCAGAAGAACCCGAACCTGTAGTACCTCATCGCGCCGCCGAGATGTTTGGAGAATATGGCTGGATCGACAGGCTTCGGAAGCGTGACCTTAGACATGGTGGCTGGGAATTGGTCATGGTTGGGTTGCTGCATCAGCTTTCCGGCAGGCCCAGACTCACGGACGTTTGTAACAGAATTCTTTCTCATCTTGCCCCTCTAGATGCTGAGCCGACCATGGAAACAGCCAGGATTCAGTACTCGACCATGGACATCAACCTGCGCGCGGAGGCTCTGCAGATCATCTGCCAGTTGTTCCTCGAAACCAAGACCGTCAAGAATTTTCTGGAAGAGATGAGCAACACAATGACTCATTACCGCAAAATCAAGATTGAGCATCAGCGAGCTCGGAAAGAGGCATTGGCGAAGCTTAAGGAGCTTCAAATTGAACGGAGACTGCTGGCGCCGGAACCCGAGAAATCTCCTACCCCGATGCCCGAGCTCGAAGACGCTACGGAGGCGGAAAAAGGCGAAGACGGCGACATTTCGATTCCCGATTCAGAAGATGAAGAGCCCGTCATGACAAGATCTTTGCGACGGGGCAGTGACCGAGCGGCCGAGCGTAAACGGAAACGCGAAGAAGAGCAAGAGCGCAAGGAGAAGGCAGCAGAGGCGAAGCAGAACAAGGGAAGCAAAGAGTATCAGAAAGTTCTCAAGCAGATCGAAAAGGAGCGCGATCGCATCGAACAAGCAGAAGAGCAGATTCTCGTTGTCGACGGGGACTTGCGTGAAGCTGACTGCCCTCGGACACGGGTTCTCGGGAAAGATCGCTTTTGTAACCGGTATTGGTGGTTCGAAAGGAATGCAATGCCACATGGAGGCTTACCCGATAGCTCGACGGCGGGAGCGGAATACGCCAATGGCCGGGTCTGGGTGCAAGGCCCTGACGATATGGAGCGGGAGGGTTTCATTGATGTCAGCGAGCTGGATAAGCAGGCTTACTACCGACGATTCCAGATGACTCCAGCCGAACGGAAGAAACTGGAAGAAGGTACCACGAACCTGGTCTCCGCGAGGCAATGGGGATTCTATGACACACCGGAAGAACTTGACATGCTTATCGGATGGCTCGACTCTCGCGGAATCCGAGAATTGAAGCTGAAAAAGGAACTCAACTTGCAACGTGATGCCATCATCAAACATATGGAGAAACGAGCTGCGTATCTGATGCCGCGAGAGAAATCTGAAGAGCCACCGACGCGGATGTCTACGAGGACCAAGACGCACATCAGCGATAAGGCACATCGATGTCTGAAATGGAAGAACTCTACCGCTCTAGCGGAACTAGGGCATCGCCATGTCGACCCCGTGCCGAAACCGAGAGGGAGAGGCAAGAAGAACATCACTTACGACGAGCCGCAAACAAGGTCAAGCGCGGCAGCTCCACCAGCTCCGCTGAACCGACAGGGTAAACCGGTAACGAGGCAGGGGACAAGGTACAACTTTTGAAAACATCTGCTCTATGTCTGCGACCATCTGCATAACGGAAAAGAAACATCGTGGTGTTGCGGCGGATTAGAAACGATTGGGAAAGCACATTGCATTGACTTTGATTCATTTCTCCAAGAGGGCTATTTGGCTGGCATTTGTCTTTCGGGGCGTGGACAGTTTCTCCAAATTTTCCGTGCGGGACACTACTATGAGCTCGCCGGGACTGGATTCAACAGGGTTGGGCGGTTTACATTCCTGCGCGTTCTCCTGGAAGGCTTGATGAGAAATGAGTGCATGAAAACGGGCGCTGGACAGATTACTCTCTCCGACTCAAATTTGTCAGCCAACACCGGACAGAAGAGAAAACGGGGCATTGTTTCGGAAAAGCTATGAGGACTAGAGAGGAGTTTTGCATCGTGTATGGATTGATGTTGCATTCATAGATTTGCGCTTAGAAATGAGCTGTGAAAACAGCGAGCCTGTATTACCGACGCAACAGCTAGAGCCCCGTGGGTGCTTTGGGTGCTTTCTGTGCATTGAGGAGACGAAAAATGGGTAAAGACATTTTTGAGACTGGATGATGGTTCCTCTCCATTTCATGCTGTCACTTAAGAAACTATAAATGGGACACCACTGATCCGCTCAATCTTATTACTCAGTGCCTTACAATTCATCTCTCAGAACCTCTTGGGCCTTGGCCGCAAAGCCTTGCCTGGCGGCGATCTTCCTGCCGGGTTTCTCAATCACCACGTCCTCGCCGCGGTCCTTGAGTCCGCGCTTGACCATGCTCGTGAGGATCTCGTACGCGACCTGCGCGCCGGCCAGCGCGGTGGCTTCGCCGTGGCCCGCCTCGTACGCAGGGCTCACCTCGACGACGTCGGCGCCGACGAGATTCAGGCCCTCGACGCCGCGGAGGATCTGGATGAGTTCGCGCGTGGTCCAGCCGCCGGGCTCGGGCGTGCCGGTACCAGGGGCCAGACCGGGGTCGATCACGTCGATGTCCACGGAGAGATAGACGGGCATGGAGGTGCCCATCCGCTCCATGATCAGGTCGATGATGCCCTTGACGCCGACGGCGTCGATGTCGTCGGACTCGATGCGCAGGAACCCCTGGCGCTCGTCGTCGGCGTAGTCGTGGAAGTCGTCGCCCAGGAGCCGCGTCCGCAGGCCCGCGTGCACCGACGACCCGTTGTTGATGAGCCCTTCCTGCGACGCGATCCAGAACATGGTCCCGTGCGTGAAGTCCGCCTGCGTGGGCGTCTCGGCCCACGCGCTCGGGTACGCACCGGGGTGCCAGGTGTCGAGGTGCGCGTCGAAATGCAACACCGCGATGGGCTGCTTGTAGATCTTCTCCAGCGCGCGAAGGGCCGGGAGGGCGATCGAGTGGTCTCCGCCCAGGGTGATCAGCTTCGGGTGCTCGTGGCTCTCCGGGTTCTTGTAGCTCAGCGGTCGGCGAGACAGCAGCTCGAGGTACGCCGAGGTCATCTGGTGCAGCGCCAATGCGTTGTCAAAAGGCGTGATGGGGATGTCTCCACAGTCGAGGACCAGAGGCCACGACGTGTACGGATTGATGTGGGCGCGGTGGTTGAAGCCTCGGAAGGACGTCTGGCGAGCAGAGGCGGCACGGATGGCACGAGGGCCGAAGCGGGCGCCTGGCAGAGAGAGAAAGAATGAGAAACGATGCGCTACCTTTGCGAACCAGACAGACATGTTCTTTTTGTCTTCTTCTTCTTCTTCTTCTTCTCCTGTTGGGCCCAAGGACATTGTCCTGGCTTTGGGGAAACTAGCTTACCGGGTCGATAACTCACTGCTGTGTCATACGGGGCGCCAATGATGCCGATATCGAACGGCTCGTACGGGGTGGTCAGGCATTTTACATGCCTGAGATGAGCGAATGTTGATATTCCCGAGAATCCCCACTGTAACAAGAGTGTCAATACACATGATATATAAGCTCAAGTATTGGCCCTTCTGGTTCCGGCTCAAGTGTATAATCCTACCACCAGGAACGCAGAACCTGTGGTGGAAGGCTTGGAAACACAGTACTGAGGCGCCTTACATCAAAGTCCCATTTCGCTTTCAATTCATCGAGCGGACTACCGGATTCAGGCGGGATCTCGAGTTCCGGATTGTCGTAGAAGGAGGAATGAGCAAAGGGAAGGAGAGGGAGCAATATCGACAAGGACCACGACGGCAGCAGCATCGTTGAGGAACGGCCAGTTGGTCACGTAGGTCTTCCACCCAATGCTGTTTGTATAGATACCAAGAGGGAGAGAGCAGAGAAAGAAAAAAAAAACTTACATCCAAAAGAGTAACATTCTCATGTATCCATTATCTAACAGGATATCATCATGGCCCGCCCATGAAAAAAAGACTCCATCGAGTTGGGATGATGGATTAGGGCGTCAAGGGCGTCGAATGAAACTCGGCGCCACCCAAAATCCAAAAAGAACTAGAGGGTGACGCCGCTTTTGAGCGGAGATTCCCGCTGTCTGTTTCGCGTTGCTGTGATTGGTCCGGGTTGACCTCCTGTCTTGCTCCCTCGCCGACGCCCCCGGAGACGGGACATATACAGCTATAGGACGAAGACCAGAAGAGAAATGTCAAGGAGATGCGGAGAGTTGTCGTGACTGGGCTGGGAGCTGTGACGCCCCTGGGTGTTGGTATGTTTTGATGATTGCTGCCATCGACCACCGCTCTCGAGGTTGACGACGATTTGTGTTCTTTTTTGCAGGTGTCAATCGAACATGGTCCCGGATTCTACAGGGACATTGCGGCATCGTCTCAACACGCCATCTCGGAGAAGAATTCAAGGCGCTTCCAAGTCAAGTCGCCGGTCTGGTACCTGTTCCCAGATCTGACTCGGATGCGGAAGAGGGCGTTTGGAGAGCTCAGGATCATGTCACGCCAACGGTACGGTCTTCAGGCTGGCTTTCTCCCCCCTTGAAAGGTGAAAATCCAACGAAATACTGAGGCTGAACGCTGGGATAGGAACTCCGCCAGACTGCCAAATTCGCACAGTACGCTCTTGCAGCGTCCGCCGAAGCATTGCAAGATGCTGGCTTCAAAGACGGCAAGGGTCTCGATCAAGAGATGACGGTACGTTGATGAATATTGCCCAACGTCAACGCCTTCCACCGCGGCATGTTGCCAAAAATTCGCGTATATGAAAGAGTTGTCCTGGAAACTGACCACCAAATCTATTCGCAGGGCGTCTGTCTAGGTTCCGGCATCGGGAACCTTGAAGACCTATACAACACCTCGGTGGTGTACAACCAGGAGAAGAACTACCGCAAGATCCACCCGCTGTTCGTCCCCCGGCTGTTGATCAATCTCGGAGCTGGACACATCTCCATGCGCTACGGTCTCAGAGGACCGAATCACGCAGCCACCACCGCCTGCACCACGGGCGCCCACAGCCTCGGAGACGCGTCGCGCTTCATCAAATCTGGAGAAGCCGATGTCATGATCGCCGGGGGTGCTGAGTCGTGTATCCATCCGCTCGCCATAGGTGGATTTGCGCGGTCCAGGAGCTTGGTGACCAAGTTCAACGATGAACCATCGAAGAGCTCAAGGCCTTTCGACGCGGATAGGGCTGGCTTTGTGATCAGTGAGGGCGCGGCTTGCATTGTGCTCGAGGTAAGACCGAGTCATGCCCATCGTGCGAGACGCTCGCAGTACACGCTCGGAACGTTCTGACATGCCAGTCAAGGAAATGGAGCATGCCAAATCCCGCGGCGCCAGAATCTACGCCGAACTCGTCGGCTACGGCAACTCCGCGGACGCTCACCATCTCACAGCGCCGCTGGAAAATGGTGCCGGAGCTCTCCTAGCCATGAAAAAGGCCCTCAGACAGGCCCAAATTCCCCCTTCCAAAGTGGACTACATCAATGCTCACGCAACTTCCACACCATTGGGCGATGAGGCTGAAAACCAGGCAATGAAGACACTTATGTTGGGAGAGCATGGCAAGAAATCTGCCAACGAGATCAACGTGAGCAGTACCAAGGGCGCAATTGGACACCTTCTAGGCGCTGCAGGAGCCGTTGAAGCTTTGTTCACTGTTCTGGCCATGTACGAGGTACGTATTTTTCAGCCTGACACCTCCCAGTAGGTGCGACTATAGGAATGGTGTTAATAACGATATGATGGCTAGGACACACTGCCCCCCACTACCAACCTCGTCTCCAAAGGCGACGAGTTCGACTGCAACTATGTTGCGAACACGGCGCAACAGGCAAAAGTTAACATCGCCTTGACCAATAGCTTTGGCTTTGGAGGAACAAATGCAAGTCTCTGCTTCCAAAAATATAAGTGAGACTCAACCTTTTGAGGACTTTTGGTCTGCTACTCCAACCAAAATATTCGTCCGACGACGTTCGTCGCTCAAATCAGTGCGCTGTCCACCACGAATGATCCCCCTTAAGCCACATCTATCGAGGTCTTTCGGAGAGGCGCCTTCAGCCCAGATTGAGGCAAACCAATACCTGCCGTTACAGGCGAAGCTGATATTTCACTGGGGAACGTTTCGTGGATGGCAGACTGGGGTATAGCACTTTTGGCGCTGTCAGGGGGAACACTGAACAAGCCGCCGGATCTGTTGCCGCTCATGGCATTTGATAGCATTTCCTTCATCCGTACCAGCTGGTATTTCCGCCGGGTCGGGAAAAGTGGTTTGGTGACGAGGGGTTGCGGTCGAGCAAAGCTTCTAGCGATGGCTGTCATCACTGAGTCTCGCTCCTCATCCGAATCGACCGGACCAGTCAGACTAGGGTCGAGATCCTCCTCAAGGAGCGCAGGGGCGTTTGCATCGAGCGCAGCTTTCTGCTGGCGTGCTTGATTCTTTTTCTGGTATGCAGCGAGCAACATGTCGTAAGGCAGACTTCTTCCGGGAACAGCCCGCTTTGCTCCCATGGAGTGGCTCTTGCATGTTAAACTCCTTGCGCACTGTCCACCATTTGGCAGTATCACGCCGCATTGTTTCTCCACGTCAACCGGACCTTTGGGTTTCACCACCTTCGGTTTCTGTTCTTCCTTTCTCTTCTTCTTTCTTGGCTCTTTGTCATCTTCGGCGTCGGCCTTCCGTTTCTTGGTCTTCTTGGGGGCATCATCATCACCGTTGACACCATCTTTTCTGGAAGAGCCTTTGACATCGTCGTCGTCGTCATCATCATCGTCTGCTCTCTCTGCCCGTTCCTTCGCGCGCGCCGCAGCTTCGCGTGCTTCCTTTTTCTTGCGCGCTTTGTCTTGCTTGGACTTCAAACACAAGGATATGTGCCACTTGGCAGTGCGCTTTAGAACCATCTTCTTGCAATGTTTGCAGATCACGGTATCGAGGTTTTCGAGGCGGCCGTTGGGGAAATTTGCCATGGTCTCGTCATCAAACTTGGGTACTTCTGGAGAAGGCGCCTCTGCGTTGTTCTTGACGCCTGTGACTGTCAGAAGGGGCCAATGCCAGGGATGCATCTCACTCACCATTTACTTGAGCCGATTTCTTGGCTTGAAGAGGGAACTTCTTTAATTTGACCTTGGGTACCTTCTTACTGCCTTTGCTGAACTTGTAGCCGGACGCGCTGATAAGGCTGTCTGTGTTGGATCCAACAGATGAGGCTATCAGCAAGTTTCAGTCCCACCCTGACTGCGCCAGGGTTTTGATGTGTACGAACCTCGTGCATCATTTGCCATGTTGGAGACTTTCACCAACGAATTTCGCAACGCCGACGGTCAAAGGGAGGGTTGGATGAATCTGCTCGAGTACAAGCAATGGCGGCGGCCGACAGTTCTCGAGTCTCGGAGTGTTGTTATCTTCGGTCACCTCTTTCGCAGGCCACGGCATGTCAAGGAGAAATGCGGAGGACCAGAGGACCTAAACGATGGGGGAAACTGCGGGCGGTACGTCGAGACTAGGCCTATCATGGTTAGACACTTATCAAAATTTAAGGTTATATGATGGAAACGCCACACGAGTGCTTAGTAATACTTGATGCATTAGACATTCACGCACTCTGCCCTACAATACTCGTACAAAGTACAGCGGACCATCTAGGCTTCGGGCGACGAAGCCAGAATCTCTCTTCGACTCCCTTCGGTCTGGGCTTGAAGAATTGATTTGGTCCGCTCAAGTTTTTGCGCAAGGAAACAAATCTCCCCATCTCACCGGCAGCCTCTCTCTCTCTCTCCGTCCTCCTCTGCGCATACACCTCTCAGCCATGGATAACGGAGGGCCCGAACCCCCGCACCCCGAGATCAACTCTCTCATGCAGCGCATCGGCGGGCAATGGGCAGGCCATGCGCTCCAGAAATCCTTTCAACACGAAGTCGCCCACCTCCTCGGGCGCGGGAGAAACACGTCGTTCCCCGGCGCCCAACCCGTCTCCTTCTCGTCGGAACACATACAGGAACTCAAGAGTCAAGACTACTACGTATGCGAAAAGACCGACGGCCTGCGCTACCTCCTGTACCTCACGCAAGATGGCGACAGGGACATCCACTACTTTATCGACCGACGAAACGACTACTGGTACGTGCCGAACCTGCACTTTCCGCACCACGAAGACAAGACCTTTCGGCGATTTCACACCGGCACGATATTGGACGGGGAATTGGTCGAGGACAAGTACCCGGATCGAGAGCCTGTCATCAAGTTCCTCGTGTTCGACTGTCTGGTCTTGGACTCTGTGGTCTTTATGCAGCGGCCGCTCGACAAACGCCTCGCCTACTTCCAGACCCACGTCCTCCAGCCGTACAATGCCATGTTCAAACAGCACCCGGAATACACGAGGCCGTTTGTGCTCGAGGACAAACACAACGAGTTCAGCTACGCCCTGGAGAAAATGTTCAAGGAAGTGATCCCCAAGGTGAAACAGACGCACGGCAACGACGGCCTGATCTTCACTTGCCGGGACGCACCCTACAAGATGGGCACCGATCCACATATCCTCAAATGGAAACCACCCTCTGAGAACACGGTCGACTTCCTCCTCCGGATCGAGTGGGCGAGAATGGAGCCAGACCCGGACGATCCAGACCAATCCCCACAAATCGACTTTTACTCATTCCCCGAGAAATTCTCCCTCTTCATCCACGTGGGCAGCAACGAGTACTCGTACATCGAGGACATGTACGTCGAGCCCCAGGAGTGGGAGGAGTGGAAGAACCTGAACCACCCGCTCCAAGACATCATTGTCGAATGCTACCAGGACGAGCTGCAACGGTGGCGGTTCCATCGGTTCCGACACGACAAGGAGAATGCCAACCACATCAAGGTGTTCAAGAGCGTGATTCGGTCGATCCAGAGCCACGTGACCGAGCAGGACCTGTTGAACCACGCCCCGGAGATCAGGACGGCCTGGAAACTTCGAGCCGAGGAGGAGAAGGAAAAGCGGAAGCGACTCGCCGCCGTTAAACAGGAGGGGTGATGTTTTTACAAGTAATTTTTTTTTTTCGATTTCAAATCTCAAAAGAGCAAGCGTGCGTGGCGTTGGATTTTATACGTTGGGGGGCGAGGGGGGGTGTATGGTATTTGGTAAGGATGAAAAGAGATCCAACCAAGGAGTTAACGAGGGGACTGGCTGGCTGGCTGACTGCTGGCTGTTGCGCAAAGTTTACCCAATATCCCGACAGCATTGGAAATGGTACCGAGGAGTTGCTGCTCACTCGCTCCATTGGCATTAACATGGGCAACGGCGTGGGTATGTAGCGGGCACGGGCATGGATATGGGTATGAACATGGGCAATATATGCGGTTTGGTGTGCACCAACGAAAGTCAGTGGGAGCGAGCAATCAATCGAAGACAGAGAGTTTCACTCTTTTTGTTTGTGCTGTATCACTTTCCGCGTCTCCTTTTTCCTCTTCTTTTCCCTCTTTCTTTCTTTCCGTATTTATTGCCCCTTTCTGTCGTCGCTGTGAAGGTCGCAAAATGAAAATCGCAACGAAAACCCAGGCCACCCAAGTCAACACTGTTTTCAGGCCGTTGCGAAATCGTTGGGTAAGTAATACCCCGTACATATGTACGTACGTATGTGACACGAGTAGGATTGAAATACGTATGTGTACTAGGTGTGGAGCAAATGTATTGTTGGTTTAGTGTGTAAGGCCCATGTGTATATTGCACTTTTACACGGTGTGTACTCGGTACAAGTACATGAGCAGCATCTAGGTAGGGTACGCAGATCGGGTAAATTGTGTCGGTGGTGATGTCTCCTGCTTGGTACCTACAAGTAGTACATGGTACTTGGTACTTAGTACGCGACATTTCCTGTATATGCTCCCTGTCGTCCGGAGGCGCTGGTGGCATCAACGTTGATGCCTGCGCCAGGGCCACCAGAACCAGCGCCCGCGTCCGCCATCGGCGTGTCGTCCGCGCGGGCGACTTTTTCACGTTGTGCTCGCTCGCCGCCGAGAAAGCGGAAGGGCGTGCTTGTCCAGTCCGTCGCAGCCGTCACGTCTAAACCGCCTGTGCTAGACCCGGCGCTTCTGCCGCTTTGTTCTTGAGGGGAACACTCGTCTGGCCGGGCGAGTGAGGATCCCGGTTTCCACGCCATAGGGTGCTGGGGGATTGGATTCAATGCGGTAGCTTGTGAGGCCGGCGCTGGTGCAGGTGCAGGTGCAGGTGCAGGCGCAGGGGCACCCTCAGTCATGGCCAGGATGTCCGGGTTCGGCAGAGACATCCATTGGTCGAGGAATGCCCAGTCAACTTCGAGGTTCAGTGGCATCGAGCTGTTGGCCGCCATGTCCTCGGCAGGGAGGTCAGAAGAGGACGATGTTGTCCCCGTCACCGCACTCGTAGCGGCTGTCGCGGGGCCTGGGTTCGGTGTTGGTGGAAAATACGTGGGACTGAATGGGAGGAAACTCATAAACGGGTTCGGGCCGAGACCTGGGTTCTGAATGCCCGGCATGAGACGCAGGTTGGGGTTCAGCGTGGCGCCGCCGTCGGTGATGCTGGAGTTATTGAATGTCGGGGTAAAATAGGTGCCGCCACTACCGTCACCATCACTACCACGTCCTTCCCCAACGCCAGGCTGGCCCTGCTGAATGTGAGACGATGTCGACGAGGACGGATAGTTCGAGAATGCGCCACGGTTCTGTTGATCTGATAGTGTCGGCTGAACCATAGAGATGTCGTACTGCATCGGGAACATGACAGAACCCGCAAATCGCCCTGGTTGCATGGTTGTCTGAGGTGGTAACGTTGAAGATTCTTGTGTTTGTCCTTCCGAGTGGGTGATCGACATCGACGTGTTGCTCTTGGGATCCCTCGTGTTGCCGCCAAATGAGCCTGACCATGTCGATTGTGCAACCGTCTCTGGGCTTGCAATCTCACTCAGAACCACCTTCAGAATGTCTGCTACTCTCTTCGCCTCATTGCTTGTGGGACTCAGTTCCTCACAGATTCCAAACGCCGCCTTCAACAGCTGGAACTGCTCAACCACTTTGTCGTCCTCGGAATTCTCGAGGTTCCTTCCAGGATTCCCTTTCCTCCACATACTCACCGCCAAACACAAGACCATTGCGGCCAGATAGAAATCATTCATGGTGAACGAACTCAACATCCAACGATCCTGATGAAGTTGGCCCCCGGGCTTCAACTCCTTGTGCAGATCTAGCATGTGCCGTGTGATCGCCGTGGCGGCATCTGTGCATATTTTGGTGGAAGCTGGATGGTTGCCTTGCGTCATGTACTTCCTGTGTAGCACGAGGAGCGATTTTTGGTAGAGGAACTCGCAATTGGTGCGCACCATGATGAGATAGCTGGGATCGGCAAAGGATTGTGACATGGGACGAATGTGTAGAATCTGGGGTACAGTGGCGTATACGGCGCGGGCTTCGCGGTCGAGATCCATGACCTCCTCTCCCGAGTAGTCGCGAAACGAGAGCGCGTGCGCGCAGACCTTGCCGAATGTGGTCATCAGACGAGTTTTGACAATGAAATACAGTACTTGCGTGGCTTCTTCCTCCGACCGGGACGGTGGCAAGGCCAGAGTATGCTCATCAAAGTCACTGTCCATCAGGTTTGATGGAGGTAACGTATCCCAGCTATTCGGCGGGATCTGGTTGGGCAAGCCCAGTTGAAAGGAAACCATGAGGTCGAATTGCAGACACATTGCCCAGACGCGCCGCCGAAGTTCACCCTCAAACACGGAGAGATGAGGGAATTGGGATGGATCGCGATGGTAGCCGCTTCGGTACGCGAGCCGCACAAGGATGGGGAATACGATGCTGACTTCGCGCGACGGATCCAGCGTGGCCATGTATTTGCATTGCGCATACAGAGCCAGAGCTTCCACCACATAGCGTTTGGGGCGAATAAAGCCGCCGAGGCGGAGACATTGGCCGGCAGCGTTGAGAAAACTCATCCGTGGACTCAGTTGATCTTCTGGAGTGGACGGCTCCGAGCCCACGGCTTCGGACAAGGTGGCAGACATACAACATATGGAGAATAGTATGGAAACCCAGAGGGGAGGCATCTCTAGCGGTGTGCGCCAAAATTGTTCGTATTGTCTTCGGAATTGGCCCGTGTGGATGAAGGGAATGACCAGATACCGGCTGTTGAAGTAGGTGGACAGACGACGGTCGACTTGCAGTCGTGGAGGAAGGGCCTGCGACAGGATCTGAGAGAGCGAAATATGGCTGGTCGAACCAAACAGGCCTTCTATTTCTTGCGGTTCGACGTCTTCGCCTTCAT